AAGACAGCCCTGGGGCAGGGGGGATGGTCTCTCCACTGTAGAAAGTAGAGTAGGATTGTGGTCAGACTTAATTTGAGGCATCTAGTGAGGACACATACAAATCCACCAAGGAAAATAGTTCAAAAGCAAAATAAAAGGCGGGAAACAAAACGGACCCATGAATAATTGAGTCAAAGTGATGTTGCACAAAACGCAGAGAAACCAAGAAGGGGGAGGGTTAATGTATTAAATGTGCTATTAAGAAGTTAATTTTATTAAAAGTATTATTACTTAAAGCTCTGGCTGCTTTCTCTGTGTGTGGGTCTGAACTACCTCGGGGTATGTGCCAAGGGGACCACTGTGGGGGCTGTAGCTGAGGGTTTTCTTTAGTGTAACTCTGGGTGCCCCTCCCTGCTCACCTTTGGGAAGTGAATGGCTCCTGTCTTCTCTCCACAGCTCCCAACTCCAGTGTCCAAGCGCTCAATCCCCTCTTGTCTACCCATTTTACCCCTTCTGTTCCTTGGGGGTGCAGTCAGAAGAGAAGACTAGAGGCTGCTTAGGCATCCAGCTCCTGGGCTGATGGAGACGGCAGAGAGCTGAGAGACCCTCCCCGCTAGACTCCACCTGTCCCTGTATACCACACCCCGTCTTCCCTGGGGTCAGGCAGAAAACTGGATGGAAAATGGACCTTCTGCCTCCCAGTCTTAAGCCCCTTTCCCCAGCACACAGGGACAGGCTGGCCTGACTCCTCCTTCTTGCTAATATCCCCCCTGCCTCCTCCGTTCACCCCTGGCATTGGAGTGACCTCAGTTCTTGGCACCAGGGCCCTGGGCACCAGATGGTACCCGCCGATGGTCTCTTTTGTCTTGCCTTCCATGTACCCCCTCTCCGCCATGCTGTCCTCCCTCCCCCCTCCTGCCCTGGAGGTTAGCAGAGGGAAGGGTGGGCACCTCTCACCCCCTTGGCACCGTCCCCAGACCACAGGACTGCAGAGGCAGCTGGCCCTGGGGGGCAGTGGGGAGAATGGAGGGAGGGGGAAGGGAAGGGGAACAGGGACTCGGAGGAGGAGCCAGAGTGGAAGGGGAGGCAGCAGGATAGCCAGGCATTGATATAAAATAGCTTTATTTGATAGCTCTAGTCTGCGAGGGGGTAGCAGATAATAGAGATATTGGGGGGGGGTGAAGACCTTAGAGCTCTGCGAGGCTGTGAACAGGGAACAGGCCACTCTGACATGCGCAGCCACGGGGCAGGGAAAGGTCCTGGAGCGTGGGGTGGGGGAGCACCAGGGCAGAGTTGGTGCTGCTAAGGTCAGAGGCTGATGCAACAGGCTTTCTTCTCACCAGGGCCAGGCTCCTGCCCAGCCTGGGCACTGCCCAGGGTGATGGCATTGGTCCGGGTACTGTTCTGCCTCTGCTTGGACACCTTTGCGAAAATCTCTGAGAGGGCAGAGGATAGTGGTCAGGTCAGAAGAAGCCCACGCTCCCCGTACTCAGCCGTGTACCCTTTTCTGAGCACTGGGGGTGGTCGCACTCGCAGGAGGCTTCGCTGGAAGGAAGTGGAGTTCCTGGCCCTTCTACTTACCTGAGGACTAAGGCTCAGCTCCCTGAGAAGTGTGGCCTCTGGTTCCTTCCCAAGCTCCAGGCTGAGTGGGGAGTGGGGCAACACTAGGGAATGTCCGAGGGGGGTGGTGGGAGGCTCTGAGGTGCCTGGGGTCCCACAGAGGGGCTGAGGGACCAGCTGGGGTGGAGGGGGCTGGGTGTCTGCATTCCTATGGCTGCCCATGGAAGCCTCAGGGTTGGAATGGGGTGTCAGTTAGAGGCAGGGGCTCTAACCTTTGAGGACAGTCTCAAAGGCCAGCTCCACATTGGTAGAATCCAGGGCTGAGGTCTCCAGGAATAGCAGCCCATTGTTTTCTGACAGGAAAGAAAACACACCATTAATTGTGGGGTCAAAGGCAATAGTAACAATATTTACTTAATGTTTACTATGTGCTAAACCCTTGGCATGTGTAGCTCATTTAATTCTTAAAACAACCTGTGAGATAGGTTTGAATACTCTCCCATTTTATAGAAGAGGAAACTGAAACCCAGAAACACAGAGAGAGTGAAAGAAAGTGTTCAGTGTCCCACATATAGTAACTGGTCAAGAGCTGTCAGACTGGGCGGCTGGGACTCCTGAGCCTGCACTTTTAAACACTATATCTTGCTGCCTTTAAACCTGAGAACTGGGGAAAGTGAGACTGGAGATAGTCAAGGGGAGCCCACCCGCTACACTTAGGATCTTTGAGAACTACAAGGTGAGGCTGTCTTAAAATCAATGGAAATAATTGCCCATAAAGACAAATCTCAGGGCAAGTGGTGGGACACCATGAGAAACACAGGGTGACAAGGGGGAAGGGATGGTCCTGAGGAAGAGGGGATGGAGGTAGGGAGCCCTGGGGTGGGAGCAGTGTCTGGAACAGCGTGGGTGGGCAGAGGGGTCAGACTAGGTCTTGGCAGACTCTTACCAGCGAACATGCGGGCCTCGTCACTGGGCACCTCCCGGGCCTGGCTGAGGTCACTCTTGTTGCCCACAAGCATGACGACGATAGTGGCCTCGGCGTGGTCATAGAGCTCCTTCAGCCAACGCTCCACCACGGCATAGGTCTGGTGCTTGGTTAGGTCAAACACCAGTAGGGCTCCCACTGCACCACGATAGTACCTGGGTGGGGGTAGAAGGGGTGGACAGAGAGGCAAAGGTCAAGGTGATCAGGCCCAGCCTCAGAGCAGAGTCTCAAGCCAAAAAGCCAGAGATGAGTCCCAGCGATTGGGAAATATGAAAACTGGAGTCCAGGGACACAAACCCAAACAGAGCAGCCCAAAGCCCTGATGCCTGACACTGAGAGCCTTCAGGAATACTGGTCATGGAGCCTCTGAAGACTCCCCTCCCTGCTCTAAAACCACTGGCTCCCTCCTTCCTTCAAAGCCCCTCTGCTTCCCCAGGTCCTTTGTTCTGATTTCAGCCCCTCCTATCTACCAGCGCATTCCTGGGCCCTGATCAAGTCTGTCTCCTGGGTGCCCCATCTCTGAGAGGTCTTCCTCACATGTCTCCTAGACCCACAACACCCTCTTCTCTCTTATGGCCATCTTTCTAGGACCAGCTAAATGTCCACCCCATCCAGCAGTCCCCGAGTTGACTATCTGATGCATCCTTGCAAGCATTTAGCCTTACTCCTGGTGCTGCTTCAGACTGGTGATCTATAACTACTCCCATTTTATTGATGAATCAACTGAGGCTCACGAGAGGTCAGGTGACCAGTCCAAGAGTGAAGAGTGTGTGTAACCAAAGCCCTTGCCTCCCACTTCCCGCCCCTGGCGGGTGCTGGCCCCCACCACACACACATAGACCACCTTTCTCACATGTGGCCTGACACTGTCTGGGAAACCCTCTGCTTGTGGTGTCTTCAGAGTCTTTGTAAAATGTAGTTGAGGGGTCCAGCCCTTCACCTTTGGGGTTAGACCGTAAATGTTGCCACACACAAAGCACTGTGCAGAAGTGAGGGGCGCTCTCAGTCCTGGAGCCTGCCCCCATTCCCAGCTCTGCCTTGACTTCACGTCCTTGAGCCTCAAGCTTGTATTTAAACAGGGATTGAGGATAGCACCTCACTCCTATGGTACCTTGGAGATTGAACAAAATGCCCAATGTAAAGCGCCTGTACCTTCTTGGGCACACAGCAACTGGGACCCCTTAGAAAGTGGTGACAATGACTCCCGATTTCAGTCCTCGTAGTCTGTATCACTTTATCCTGTCTCAGACTGTGTGTGGCTCATAGCATTTCTGTCTCCTCAACCGGGCCATGGCATCCTGTGATCCCACTAGGAAGCACACTGCTGAGTGCCCTTGCCTCCTCCCCAGCCTCCATCTCTACTCCAGAGGTGTTCCCTGACTTCCCCAGCACCCCCACACCCCAGCAATCCCCCAGCCCCGGGCTCACGCTGAGGTGATGGCTCGGTACCGCTCCAGGCCAGCCGTGTCCCAGATCTGAGCCTTGACAGCAGCGGTGCCCAGCATGACAGTGCGGGTGGAGAACTCCACGCCGATGGTGGTACGGCTATCGTGGCTGAATTCATTGCGCGTGAATCGGGACAGCAGATTGGTCTTCCCCACACCTGACTCACCGATCAGCACCACTGAAGGAGCGGAGAGATAAGGGATGAGCTGGGCAGAGCAGCCCAGCCTACCTGAGCCTACTGCTGCTCATCAGCAAAAGGGAGCTGATCTCAGAAAACTGAGGAGCTGGGGCTCCTGGCAGAGACTGGGGTCTGCAGCTCCACATGCTGCATTCATCCCGGGCAGAGGGGCCAAAAGCTGGACTCAGCTACGGGGCTTTAACGGTTCCTGGTCTGGTCTGATGAGAGAGGCCTGCAGAGTCAGCCTGCGGTTCTGGGGATGGGTGACGCCTGTGAGCTGCTCAGGGGCTGTGGGGAGAGGTCAGCAGGGGTGTGAACGTGGACAGAGATGGCAGGAGGTCTTGGGGAGGTGCACATTCCTGGAGTAGGGAATATGAGCACTGAGTTGGGAGGACAAGTGGAAGGGGTGGTGTGTTTGCACAGGAGCAGAGATGTGAATAGAAGTGTGGGTGCCGAGAAAGTTTGGCAGATGGCAGGTCTGGGGCAGTGACAGATACAGAGGGGTGTGTGTGTATGTGTAAGAAGTTAGGATCCAGTTGTCCCCAAGGAGGGTCAGTCTTGCATGGGGCTGGGAGTTAGACCCCCGTGTGTCCTCAGCAAGTTATTAACTTCTCTGACCTTTTTTTCACACAAAAAATGGGAGTAACACATAGTAACTCATTTAATCCTCACAACAGTACCATGAAGCAATTACCATTATTATCATCACATTTTTACAGATAAAGAAAGGGGGCACTTGTGGGGTTAAATAACTTGAGCAAGATAACACCACTAGTGCGGTAAACACATGTGTGCTGCCCAGATGTGCCTTCGAGAGGACTTGCCCCTGCTACAGGGAGTGCAGTCAGCAGGCTGCAGCTGTCTGCTCCGTTAGCATCTGCCTCTGGTGCGGAGAGCAGGTTCACCTGAGGTCATGCCTCTCCTGGGCAGTCTGTATCCGGGGCCCAAACAAGGTGAGGGTATCACAGAGCTCCCCCCTTTGGCCAAAGCTTGGTGATCTTGCCTTGCAGTTTAACTTCTTTCTCTGTCCAATCCTGTTTCCTCCCCCTTCCTTCCAATGGTGTTGATACATAATAAATATCTTGCAGGGCAAACTTCTCAGTGTCTGCTTCTGAAGTCCCCAACCTGCAATAAGTAGTAAGTGGCAGGGCAGAGATCTGAATTCTCCGCCTGGCATCTGACCATTAAGCTTTCAAAATGAAAGAACTTTTTGGGGTTGTTATGGTGGTAAGCTAGTGGCTGGCACATAGTAAGGGCTAAATAAATGGTAGTTACTAGTAGTATTAGTGTCCCAAACTATTGCTAGCTCTCACCTGGTCTCCCCTTCCTGGGAAAGATGCTGGGAGTACAGGTTCCCCAACTGCTGGGAAAGAGGAAGCCTGGGAAAGACTCAGAAAGAGGCCAACAGAGGCAGTCCCTCCTTTTTGTTTGTTGTTGTTTTTAAATCTCTTACCAGGACCCCCTAGCTCTTACCTAGTCTCCTTTTCCTGGAAAGATGCTGGGAATACAGGTTCACCTGAGTCCCAAGTGAGGGTGGGGCCGAGGCTAGGAGGGGCAGTAGGGTGGGGTGGCTGGACATGGAATCATTGCTCTGCCAGTTCACCCTGCCCAGAAGGAGGTACGGTGAGGGTGGGGGTGGGGTGGGGGACGTACAATAAGGGGGTCAAACACAGGAGTTTAGAATAAAGAACAGGAAAGATACTTGCACACTTCCAGGGATAGCCAAGTTGGACTCAGTGCCTGGTATTTGGGGCCACGGGGTCTGCCTGCCAAGGGACAGACAGAAGGCTATGGCCTTAGGAGTCCTATTATGGCCCTCTGAGTCCTATTAGACCCTGCTCCCAACTCACTACATCTTCCCTATATCTTCACCCAGCCCTATGACAGGATAGATCTCTCCTCTCTCCTTTTCTGTACATCTGCCCAGAAAAATGACTTTTTTCCTCTTAGGTCTGCCTGTTTCTCCCTCCTCCCAGGAGGGAAGCCCTCTCAGAAGTCTGACCTCTATCTCTCATGCTGCAGCGGCTGACTATTCTTTGGGATTTGGCCTTCCATTAGGAATGGGGCAGAGGAGCTTAACTGGGCACTATTAGAGAGAGAGCAGCACCATTCATTATTTACAACAGCAGAGTATTCTGGCAGCCCCAAGACTTTTGCTTCAGTTACCAGACCCTCCCCCATCCTTGCAGCATTCTTTCTTATACAAAGGAATGATGCGCCCTAGGGGGTCCTGGTTAGAGATTAAAAAACATCAACAAACAAACAGGAGGGGTTACCTCTGTTGGTCTCTTTCTGGGTCCCTCCCAGGTTTCTTCTTTCTCTATGAACCCCAACTTACCCTTGAAGACAAAGTTATAATCTTCCTCGGTTCTGTTCCCCATCTTGGCTCCGCATGGAGGGTGCAAGTGTCTTCGGGGACAGAGGTAATGGGTCTATGTGTTGGCTCAATGCTCCTAACCCTCAGCTCTTAAGAGACCTGGATCTACCCCTTCTCTCATTGGGGGTAACGAAACTTCTGCAACCAGAGGGACTGAGGGCCGGCTTAAGGCTAGACAAGGCCTGGGGAGGCTCACCTGTAGCAGGTGGAGGTGCTGTAAGGAAGCTGAGGACGGAACAGGAAGAGCAGGTCGGCTGGAGACCTGGGGCCCAGGTGGGTGGAGACGATGACGTCAGACAGGTTAGACAGGTTGGGTGTCTGCTCTCAGCCTGGACTCCCACAATTAGGTGAGCAGGCTCCAGAAGGTGATAGTGGGGGAAGCTGGGACAGGGTCTTCGGAGAGCCAGCTGACTGAGTGCATGTTGTTAGGGTCCTGGGACCTGTGGCCAAGATAGGCCCAGCTGCCAGTGAGAATCAGTCCTTCAGGTAGCAGAAACCTACTTGGCCTTCTGCTTTGCCTTTACAGCCTCTGGTGGTAGTGGTGGGGTAACTGGGGGCACCAGAGGAAAGGCTGACAGGATGGCGATCACCCTGCTGCAGTGCAGAGCTCTGAGAGTTGCATCTTGGGTACAGCAATTTCTGCCCCTCCCTAACAGCCCAGGACCTGGGAGGGGCAGCATTTCTTACTCTGGGTGGAGCTGGAACTTGCAATCTATCCACTTTCCTAGGATGGGTCCCTTCCTAGAGCACTGGGAGAGGGGCAGGTAGCTCCTTGCCCAGACCTGCTCTAAGGATACTGGGTAGGGGAAGACCTGGGGCAGAAACAGCCAGATGGGGTGAGGGGTCTGAGAATAGGAGCAGAATCTGAAGATGAAAGCCTCTGAAAGGTCTTCTGAGTTTCTTCAGATCACTGCCCAGGAACTTTGGCCTCAAAGCAAAGCCATCCTATCTGCAAAGGGCTTTAGGATCTGGAGGTCTGGGTAAGCATGTGAGTGCCTGGGAGAAGAGAAACAGGATGGCCCCTCCCAACCCAAAGAGTAGAAAAGGCATCCCACCAGTAGGGACTGAAGGACACTGAACTCCTAGGCCCCATATTATTTTTGTTCAACATGACTCCCACTAGCCCCCTGCTTCTTGGAGCTCACTTCCAAGGTTTTGCCAATCAGGTAGGTGAAATTCTGCTCTGAGTGGTGGGGGCCAAGTGAGGTCACTCCACTGGAGCCGAGGTGCCACTGTCCAAAACCACTTGGCTGCGGGATGAGCAGGTGGAAATCTGTTCTTGCAGGACATGAAGAATGGTGTAAGCCGTCCCTGCTCCTTCTCATCTCCTCTGACTCCTCCCAGCCAAGAAAACAGCCAAGATCCACACACCAAGAGGTCGCTGGTTCAATTCCTGGTCAGGGCATATGGCCAGGTTGCAGGTTCGATCCCCCAGTAGGGAACAGTGAAGGGAGACAACCAATCAGTGTTTTTCTCTCATCTATGTTTCTATCTCTCTCGCCCTCTGTCTCTAAAATCAATAAAAACATATTTTTAAAAAAAGACACAAGACAGGAGTGAAATTTATTCTTTGAAAAAACAAAGTCCCACCCTCCCCGTACAGTCCCGGAAGGGTTCCCCAGGGGGCCTTGCCCCTCCAAATGGTCATCTCTCTTGTCTGACCCCTACTTCCACCAGTGCCCATTATGATGCTGCTACTTGGGTGAGGGGCTCCTCCAGGTACTGCACCAAGGCCTGGGCCTGCGAGAAGGAGAAGAGAAATCAGTGACACACATGGCCTGCCATGAGAGGGACCCCAAATCTAGGTGGACTCCCAATGCTGAGCACCTAGCCTCGGGCCCCACCAGACATGGACTGGGTGACATGAGGACTCCAGGAAGGTGGGGATGGGAGTGGACAGAGGAATGAGCATATACACACCTTTGCCTTGAGCATTCCGAAGCCAACAGTCTCCTTGGCATACATACACAGCAGAAGGTTGGCCACTCGGGTGATGGCTACACGGCCCTCCTGGTGGGGTGATATCATAGACTGTTACCTTCTGCTTGGTACCCTTAGCTCCCTCTTTCCTCAAGGAGTCCTCTTGAGAGAGGCTATATCTTCCCTCCATGCCCTGAGCACGGCAGGAGCTTCAGCTGGGGAGCTATGGCTATAGCCCTGGACATGGGGTCCTTATGCCCAGATTCTAGTCTCAGCACAGCTACCTACTAACCACGTTACCCTGGGAAAGTCAATCTCCCAGAAACTTAGTTTCTCTTTCTGTAACCTGTATCTCACCCCAGCTGGTGAGGGTATAGGTACACAGGAAGGAGTTTTGTATCTGCAAAGGGCTATCCAAATGGGTGATATTATTATTATGGGTTCCCCCCAAAGACACCGTAAAGGGCTTGAGAGCAATAACCCAACTTTTTCCCCCTCTTTTCTCATGGTAATGATTTTCCAACTGCAGGTTTGAGCCCAGGGTTACATCAGTTAAGAAGATTGATTAATATTAAAAGAAAAAGGAAATAAGAGAAATGAGGTGCGTTGTATGTAGTAAGGGAAGTACTGTTTCACGAAACTTGTTTTTGTGGGCATATGTGTGTACTGGGCTCTGACTTAAAATGTGTTTCTTATGGGCGGGCTGCGGTCAAAGTTTAAATGCTCTTGCCTTATAGCACCAGTTCTAGGACGGGTACCCAGTAGGAGTCATTAGTTGAACTGAAATGTACCCTTGGTTGGGCAGAGGGTGAGAAAGAGGCAGGCAGCTGCGTTACAGTGGAAATCTTTCACTCTTGGGGCCTTTTCAATTTAGTTCAGCAAACTTTCACTAGGTATCCACTGTGTGCTGGAAACCAGGTGCTGCACCCCCCTGCCTCTCAGGCTTCATCTCCTAATAACCTCTCCCACTCTCACACCACTCCACCCACATCAATCTTGTTGATCCTTGACCAGGCACCATTTTGCCTCGGGGCTTTTTCACCTGCTGTTCTATGAGAAATGTTTTCACCCGTCACCTGTCTTGCAACTTCCTTCAATCTGTGATAAAATGTCACCTTGTCAGTGAGGTTGTCCCTGGCACATGCCCTCCTCTATCTCACTTCCTTGCTTCATTTTTCTCCATAGTATTTTCAATAACTAATGTACTATTTTTTAAACTTATATATTTTACAAAACATACATATTTTTCTTATTTTAAGACATGCAAGACTGTAAATTTCATTAGGGCTGCAGTTTTGTCTGTCCTGTTTGCTACTTTTCCCCCAGTCCTGAGAACACTGCAGGGACCTAAATATTTGTTGACTGAACCAAAGTGATTGACAGTTTCTGTTTCCAAGAAGTTTACAACCTAATGCCACTTCCCTTTTCTGAACTTCATCTCCTTTCTCTGTAAAATGAAAGATTTAGACAAGGGTTTGGAGACTGTCATGGTTCTGTAAGTCAATGAATCTGGGATGCCAACACTTTGTGCGAACCTCACTCTACAGTTTCTATTTACTCTTTTGTTTAATCTTCATAACAACTCTGTGGGGGAGGGAGGGCAATTATTGTTTACACCTGAGTTGAGATAAGGCCGCTCAGAGAGGTTAAGTAACTTATGCAAGGTTCCACAGATGGTAAGTGGGTGGCTGAGACCAGAACCCCAGGTAGATGCTGGATCCAGGGCTCTTTCCTCACCACCACTTGATGCATAAGATCCTGCCTATTGTAAATGCTGCTGTGGGCCAACTCTTAGCAATCTTCCATAGATCCCAACCATCCATGACAGGGTACAGGTCACTCCCTGGGGATCCCCTTTGGAGACAGAGGAAGTGGCTCCTCTCTTCATACCATGCAGTCCATGAGGATGAATTTGAGATTGTCTTCATTAAACGCTTGGTTCCCGTTCCTGTCGTAAGCGGCCCAGATGTTACTGGCGATGGCTGCGGTGACCCGGGCGTCTGTATCCCCGTAACCAGAGTAGGCCAGCAGCGATCCCTCGTTATTCAGCAGCCTGGCGAGGGACAGGGCAGAATAGCGACGTGCTCAGTAAGGGGAGTAAAAGGCTTGGGTTCCCATCACAGGCCCCGCCACTGACGCTTCTACAAAGCAAGGGTCTGGGCTGTGTCCTGGAAAGTGACCTGAGCACCCAGAACGTCAATTTCCCTTTTCCAAAGGGTCTCTCCATGCCGGTTGCCCCAGCTGCTGTCCCCTCCCTTCCCGGAGATCCTTCCCCACCCTTCCCTCAGAAAGCCACGCGCTGCCCCACTCCTGTGCTCGCCGCTCGGGTCCTCGGTCCGCACTCACAAGGTGCTCTGGACACCTCCAGTGTTGGCTTGGCTTAGCACCTGGGTCAAAGCCTTGGGACGCAGCATGCCTGCGAATCCTAACCCTAGGCTTTTGCACCCAGACCCTGGAATTGCTTCTTGCTCTGGATCCTCCAGCCACTTCCGGTGCTGCCTGCTCCGGGGCGCTCTGGGAATTGTAGTTTCTCCGGTCTGACTTTATAGTTCTGACGCAACCCTTCTCCTCCGCGGTGGCCACTGGGAATTGTAGTTCCTCGCGAGGCACCCTGGGAACTATAGTTCGCCTTTCCACTAAGGCCAAGCGGTTATGGGGGCGGGGTAGGGCGAGCGAGAGCGGGAGTAAAAGTACAGTGGCGGTGTGGGAAGAGCATTTAATTCCTTCATGGAGAGAAAAGTTATCATGTCCGTTTAACAATCCACGATTCAGTAATTTTAAAAAAATCCCTGTATTTGTCAGACACACCTTTGGTTAACAGTAATTTTCTACATTACGCACAATTCTGTGAGATGGGATAGATGCCATTGAGGAAATCAAGGCTCGGGGAAGCCACGCAGGCAAAACCCACGTCTCTGAAACCGAACTTCGTGGAGTTCACTCAGGCCACGACCCTGAGGGAAGGAAGTCAATCCTAGAGATGAGATTTTAGATGGTCGTCCCGAAGTGGAGAAGTTCAACCTCCCAGTAGGCAGAGGCCCCAGGCCTAGAGAGGATTTCGATTTCCAGAGAAAGACGAGCTATCGCAGGGAACAGAGA